TAGACGACGAAGCTAGAGAAAAAGAGTTAGAACTATACTAGGTTGCCGGCTATAGGTGCAGGCTACGGACAAAAGTTATACCTTATATAAAACGAGAGCGAGGCTCTCTACCTTATCCCGTCTTATTACTATAATAAGTTTCTCGACTTTCGACTTTACTTTATCCTTATCTAGGATCTTCTATTAGTCGTCGTTTAATAGTACAATTTTAAGCGTCTTAAAGAGGGCTCGGATCGCGATTTGAACTATATAAGCGAAGTAGGGAAACTTCTATAGGGATGTAACTAGCAACGACGTCGGCTCCGATTCGTTAGGGCTAGGGCTATTAATAGGCTCCTCTTTATCGTTATTATCGTACGTATTGTCGTACGTATCCGGAATCGTAGCGAGCTTAATATTCGGAAGATTAAGCTAGATTATAGACCTTATAATCTCCTCTACGTACTCGACCCTATCGATACAATTAGTAATTTTAAAGACATATGCGAGTGAATTGTATATATAACGCCTTATACAATGTTCGATTATTACTAGCGTTGTCCGCAGTAATCGAGATCAGTTTCGTTATTACGCTAACCCTGTCTATTACCGTATAGACAAGCTTCGCTATATCCTTACTAGTATAGGAACCTAGAATTTTAGGGAATCCGATTATAAGTTCCTAGAGTTTCTAATCCGAATTAATAAAGTATAGCATAATCGAGAGGAAGGAGGCTCTTATAGTCCGGCTTAACTAGCTATCGATAGTAATAGCTACTCGGCGAGTATTACGGAGGATCTCCCGAATATCGTCTAACGTAGCCTCTTTATTCTTTTCGAATATAATACGCTAGGTTATCGCGCCGAGAAATAGGGGAGGGTAGTTTATAAGATATAGGTATATCTTCTATATAGACTCCCTTTCGTAGAAGTCTTCCGGAAGACCGTTTATAGCTAGTATTTCGTTTACTAGTTGCTTAAAGTCTTCGGAGGAGAAATCGGTAGCCTTTAATCCTAGAGCTTCCTTAAGCGTAGCCTATAATAATTAGCTAGACCTCTACGGTTGATTTAAGTAGCCGGAATCTATAGCCGGAATCTATAGCCGGAATCTGTAGCCGGTAGCTATAGCCGGCAGCTATAGCCGGTAGCTATAGCCGGCATTTTAGAAAACGTACCTCTTTCTAGAACGCTATATCTATATTAACTCTCCTCTCTCCTTAAGATTCCCGATACTATTTAGAATAGAGATAGTTCGTAGGCGATAAGTTCCTATCCCCTAGTTTCGGGTATTTTAAGATTAAACCGTAGAAGTTATAGACAATTACTAGTTAACCTTTAAGTCGAGAAGTCGTATAACGGTATAATGCCCCCTCTATAAAGAACTTCTAGAATATATCCGTTCGCTCCTTACTCCCTTATCGCATCGAGTACTTCCGGAGTTTACACTCCTTCGAACGTAAGTATAAAGGGAACTATATCTTATAGACCTATTAATTGAACTGCTCTATATACTCGGGTTTCTAAAGATACGCCTAGCTAGCCTTTTCGAAGATTTCCGGGTTAATACTCGATATTCTTATATCTCCGAACAACCTTCTACTTAGACTCCGTAAAGGTAAGGACTAGGTAGTAGTACCCTATAATGAATTCCTACTACTAGGATTTAGAGAGGATAAATCTAGCCCTAATCGTCGTCTAGGACTCGATAGGCTCGAAGGTAAGTATACGACCTCCTCTCGACGTTGTCGCAATCTCGCTCGTATACTAGACTATTTCGACTATCGTCTCGTTATTACCCTTCCTAGTATAGCGCCTAGTATATATACAATATCGGTCGGTATGTTTTAAGGTTTCGTACGGTAAGGTAAGGACTTAGGAGTAGTAGATATATACTAGTAGCTATAGGGAAACACCCTTTCTTTTATAGTATCGTATCGTTAGGAATAGCTAGGTAGTAAATAGCTAGCTACCTTTTTTTTTGTTTCCTAGCTACCTAACTACTAGATTTTTTTTCCTAGCTACTCTAGCTAGCCTAACTACTAGAATTTCTTTCCTAGCTACCCTAACTACCTAAATTTTGCCTTCTATACGGCGGCTCTCTCCTACTAACGGAACCGAGCTACTATACCTAACGAATCTAAGCTCGTTTTTAGTCTTAATCTATCCTCTTTCGGTATAAGACACTCGATAAGTAAATGCTTAGGCCGAGTCTAACTACGAAACCTAAGACTAACTAACAGCTCTATTAACTAATCCTAATCCTCGAACTCCTTCCGCTTCTTAGTAAAGACCTTAAAGAGCGCTCGAGCTTCTTCGGGTACCTACGGAGTAGTCGAGATAAAGCCGTATCGCTAAAATAGGTAATCCTTCGGAGGCTTATATAGAGATTTAGAGAATTCTAACGCTAACCTATCCTACTAGTAGCTTAGATTCCGGATACAAGCCCTCTCTACCTTAGTAAAGATTTTATATAGTAGTAGCACTCTGCCTTCGAGAAACGCTTCCTATTTAACTACTAGTATCTGCCGGCTACGAACGCCGGCTATATATGCCGAGTATAGAATAATTACCTATACCCCTTCCTCCTATAGTAATACTTCTGCCGTCTCTAGATACCTAGCCCCGATCGCATTAATCGTAAGCTACTTTGCCTTTATAGACGCAAAGGCTTCGCTCTAATACTAATAAAGAAACTTCCGCTCTATATCGAGGATATAAAGACGACTAGTCTCGATTCTAATCCTTGCTAGCTTTTCGTAGCAGCTTTAACTACAATTTTCTAGATTAATAGGACTTATACCTTAGCCCTTTACTAGTATCTCGTCTCTTTAACCGTACTCGATCTACTCCTAGCGCTTATCGTCTATAGCGTTAGGCCCTAAGACTATACCTATTACTAGATCGACGTATAGTATCTCCTCGCTTTTTTTAGTTCCTTTATTCGTAGTATTAAGCTCTATCGCGGCATCCTAAACTCTAGTATTATTGTTCTCGGCTATCTAAACATCTCCGTTACTATCGGTCGTATCGATAGAGGTAGTAGCTATAGGTCTAAATACTATTAGTTAACGTATTAAAGAAAAATATGCCGGCTATAGCTACCGGCTATAGCTACCGGCTATAGCTACTAGCTACGGCCGCTAGCTAGATTGACTTACGCTACTAGAACTTTACGCTCGAAAACTAGCCGCAATTCTTTCCTCCTCTTAGCCTTCTCTTAGGTTGTCTTCTTATTCTAACCTTTACTTTTTTCTATAGGCGCTAGCTATCGATAGAATGCCTTATTCCGCGCCTTTCTTCTCTTATTCTTAGCTCTTTTATCCTTATCTATCTTATCCTTTCTCTCGCGGTCTCGTACGGAATTCTTCTTCGTAGAGTACTCCTCTTTAGTTTTGCGCTTTTTAGTTAGACGCTTAGATAAAACAAACTCGCGGTCTTTAGTTCTATCTTCTATTTAGCGCGCGGCGCGCTTCTCTCTTGCTATTATAAGGGAAAGGGGCGGGGGCGTAGCGTATAGTAGTTATTGTCGGTATAGGTATAGAGGAAGAAGTTAAAAGTATAAGAATATCGCGAAGCCCTAATTATTGCCGCCTACGTAACGTTATATAGGTAAGCTTTCGCAACTACGGTAACTACGCCCTAGTAATAGCAACTACGCCCTAGTAACGGCAACTACGCCCTAGCAACGGCAACTACGCCCTAGTAACGGTAATAAAGCGTAGTAAATACAATCTAGTAACTATTATAGCCGGCAATCGTAGCTAGTAGTCGAATAAGAGTATCCTTATAGTAAAACTACGGCCTAGCAACGGCAACTACGGCCTAGCAACGGTAAAAGAGCGTAGTAAATATAATAGAGTTACTATTATAGCCGGCAATCGTAGCCGGTAGTCGAATAAGAGTGTCCTTATAGTAAAACTAATATAGTCTCTAGTTTAAACTAGGAATCTATATAGTTCGAAAAAACCAAACCGGAACTAGGGAGCTAGTTCGCCGCTAAGAAACTAAACTATATACGTTTGGTAGTTCGGAAACCGAACTACTATAGGGTCTAACTAGAATAGCTCGAATTACGCTTTTATATACTACGATTGCGACTAATTTACCGCTTTAGCGACTAGTAGTATACGGTCTTTCTAATCTACCGACTTATCTACCTTAAAAAGCGGTTATCGAAAATTAATAGTATCGGTAGAAGATTACTAAGTATCGACAATCCACCGATCCACCGACTAGCAAGTAGACACACCCTCAGCGACAGAGGAACGCCTGCTTTCTACACTCACATTTTGGAGGATGAAACGTTCAGCGCGCCGACAGCAAACTCTACAGTGAAGCTTCGTGACTTTCCCTATCCCTGCTAAAACGGCCTTATAGCAGCTACATGTCCAAAGTGTCCTGAGCCGCCGGTAACTTCATCTCTCTCTCCTCCTGCTGCCAGCTCCACACGCCCTCTTGCTGAGCGGCTGTATGTTACTCCATTGTGCCTATCCTGGACATTCTGCAGCGCAGTCACCTCGCACACGCACACGATCGTCGGCGCTGTGCCCGCATCCCCTGCTTGATCTCAGCAGCCAGCGCGTGCGCCCGTGATCGTGCTCCAGCCGCACAAGCAACAGATCGCTCGATCGACACCGAAACGAGACCGTGGCCCACCTCGCCAGTGCCCAGTGCCCAGTCCGCAACTCCACGCGACCGCCGACGCCGACCAGACGCGCTGCATGTCGTTATACCCTGGCGATGCAGGCCTTTCCAATAATATGGCCGCGAGCGCGCCGGATATGGACCTCATGGGAAATGGGCCTCATTCCCTCAGCGCGCTCGACATCGACATGAGTCTGCCCATGGACTTGGACCTCGACTTGTCCGGCTCTGCAGACCAGTCCTTTGCCAACCTCGGAGCGCCGTCCGTAGGAAACGGCGCCCGCGGTGCGCCCTCGCAAGACCCTAATGTCTCGAGCAGTAATGGGAACGGGAGCGTTGCATATACGCCTGGCCACAACCAGCAGCACGACGATGGTATGTCCTTGAGTGGAGCCGGCGCTGGGCCTTTGCCAACAGGCTTTGGTATGCCGCCGCAGTCGGGTAGTAGCACTCTCACAGAATTCACCAAGAGGAGGAATTGGTCGCAAAGAATTATAGAAGAGCTCAAGGACTTCTTGCACATTCTCACCCCGGATGGTCGAATTTTATACGTGTCTCCGTCATGCAAGGCCATCACCGGGTACGAGCCGCATTCACTCATAGGCAAATTCATAGGCGAATATGTGCACCCTGACGACAGCGGCATTTTCATGCGTGAATTTAACGAAAGCATAGCCAGCGGGAATGCCTTGCGATTCTTCTACCGATTCAAGAAGGACGATGGTACGTACATGATTTTCGAATGTGACGGCCACCCACACATCTCGCCAGAACCGCCAGGTGCAACCACATTCGGACAGACTCCAACCGGCCAGACACTACCAGTCTCCGGTCTTTGTAGAGGTTTCTTTATGATGGCAAGACCGTATCCCACAAAAAATGCCGCCCTTCTCGATTCCTTCCTGGAGCACAAGATCGAGAACGAGCGCCTCATGAGGCGGATAGAGGAGCTTAAACGCGAGGAGATGGAAGAGAACGCCGAACAAGAAAGACTGTACCGGGAACAAGCGTCGTCACAAGCAGGAGCCACACCTTCACATTCAGGTCCGGCGGGCTCGCTCGCCCAGGACGGCCTCTCGGAAGCACCCAATGCCACACCCAATTACCAAGGCATGCCGCCACCCGCAAAACCTCCCATCTCTAACACTGCCCTTACGAGGCAGAATCTCGACAGCGCACTTTCAGCTCAAAAACCGGATAGTATTGCCGACAAAATGTCACGGTACGAAGCTAGCAATACCCACCTCGAATCAATCGAGCTGCTCACTGGTCTACGGTATCGAGATGGAGAACGAAGTCATGGTATTTCTACTGGTGATACGTCACCTGCGCTGATCAGAGGCGACGCGGGTATTGCCATACTCCTGGACCGAGACCGTGAGAGCTCGAAGAAGGAAAAGAAGAAGCTAAAGGTAGCCGACGAATATGTGTGTGCAGACTGTGGCACGCTGGATTCACCGGAATGGAGAAAAGGACCCAAGGGACCTAAGACTCTCTGCAATGCATGCGGCTTGAGATGGGCCAAGAAGGAGAAAAAGAGGACGGGAGATGATGTGAAGACAAACTCGCCAGGAGGAGCCATGTCCGCGCAACCTATGCCGCCTGCAGGTCTGACATCTGCTGGAATGCCTCCTGGTATGCCATTACAGCACAGCACTGACTCCAGCGGTGGTACACACGGCATGTAAGTAACGTGCCGGAAATCTCGTTCGTCAGATTCATCTGAGTGGAGAGGGGACCTTGAAGGGCGTTATGTGCATGTGGACTGCTCCGGGTATGAGAGTTGTAGACAAAAGATCATCAGCTTGAGGAGTTTGGAGTTCTGAGGCAGAAATGCGTGCGCGCATTCACGGAGTGATGGAGTTATGTAGTATAAGACTCTGATGTGATGGCTCTTTCGAAGAGTTGCGGATTATGACATTGTGTGAAGACATCTCACTTGAAAGCACTGAGACCACATATATAGAATCTGAGCTTCGGCCAAGCGGACCATGGTTGCATGTGAAAGCGGACCAGGCGAAACGCCAAAGATTGTATAGTCGGCCGGCGACCAGCTACCACTCTATATAGTGTACATGCAGACTTGTAGCACAATTGACACTGCCATCCTGCCATACGATGATTCCATAATGCTTTGAATCCCGAGATGAAAGCGGGCCATTAGCCGTGCATGGCTGTCATTAGTTCTAAGCTCCGCTATTGCGTGCGGAGAGCTATTGTACGTATCTATGCATCTCAACTTTGAACATTGCCGCTGCCATTCCCAAGCCATGCTTTTATAGCATCCATTCCCTTGCAAGTTTAGACTTTCTTTTGCATCGCGTCTTCCGCGCGACAACAATGGCGATTTCCACGCGACATGTTCAGCGCCGGCTACTCGAGTCCGCGAGCCAGTGCAGATCTCCCATTTGCAGACGATCCTTTGCGGGCAAGCGTTTCTACGCCACAGAGAAGAAGGGCGAAGAGAGGGAGACGTTCAAGGGTCAGCTATACCAAAGTACGCACGAGCGTGTGCAGAGAGAAAAGGAAGAGCAGGCCAGATTTGCAGCACAGCGGGAAGAGCAGAAGGCCGCTTCGAGCAGTGGCGCATGGTTCATACCAGTTGGTAAGCATTGATTGTTACAAGGCGCTGCTATTATATACATCTAACGAACGCATGCACAGTTCTTGCAGTAGGCGCTCTCGGCGGCTGGTTCATAGGTAAACAATCTCCGGCAGAAGCATCCCCCAGATCTACACTTCCACTCTCGGCAACCAAGACACCTCGACATGATACCTCGCCGGCGACATTACAGGCGGCGTGGAGCGATTTTGTATCCATCGTTGGAGAGGAGAACGTGTCAACACGGGAATCAGACCTGAAATCGCATGCGGGCAGCGAATGGAGCTCTTACTACACCCAAGATGAGGAGGTTCCGTTCGCAGTGGTCAAGCCTGGCAGCACGGAGGAGACGTCTGAGATTATGAAGATATGCCACAAGCGCAGGATACCAGTTGTGGGCTACAGCGGTGGAACCTCATTAGAAGGCCATTTCGCATCCACCCGAGGTGGGATCTGCATCGATTTTAGCCGGATGGACAAGATTCTCACCCTGCACAAGGACGATTTGGACGTTGTCGTACAGCCTGCTGTTGGATGGGAACTGCTTAACGAGGAACTCGCCGAACAAGGACTCTTCTTCCCACCAGACCCGGGTCCGGGTGCTATGATTGGTGGCATGGTCGGTACAGGCTGCTCTGGAACCAATGCATATCGATATGGTACGATGAAGGACTGGGTTCTGTCTCTCACGGTCGTCATGGCTGATGGAACCATCGTAAAGACGAAGCAAAGACCTCGGAAAAGCAGCGCTGGATATGATTTGACGCGAATGTTCGTTGGATCAGAAGGAACACTCGGCCTGGTCACAGAGGCGACGCTGAAAGTCACACCAAAGCCACAAACCACTAACGTGGCAGTGTGCACCTTCCCCTCGATACGAACAGCAGCAGATTGTGTCTCTCGCGTCGTCGGTGCTGGCGTTCCCATCGCAGCTATCGAAATATTGGATGATGTTCAAATGCGATGTATCAACCAGGCTGGACAGACATCAAGGTCTTGGCAGGAGGCTCCTACCCTGTTCTTCAAGTTTGCAGGCACGCCTTCCAGCGTCAAGGAGCACGTCAGCATCGTGAAGGATCTGGCCAAGAAGACTGGTAGTAAGAGCTTCGAATTTGCTAGGAACAAGGAAGAACAAGACGAACTTTGGTCCGCTCGGAAGGAAGCATTGTGGAGTGTCATGGCCCAGAAAAAGGATGAAGGCGACCACGTGTGGACCACAGACGTTGCCGTCCCGATCTCAAGACTTCCTGACATAATTGAAGAAACCAAGGAGGATCTTGATAAGAGCGGTCTTATCGGCTCCATCGTTGGCCACGTAGGCGACGGCAACTTCCACGCTATCATTCTCTACAACGACAAAGAGCACTCGGTTGCTGAAGAAGTGGTACACAAGATGGTCAAACGTGCAATCGAGATGGAGGGCACGGCAACGGGCGAGCATGGCGTTGGTTTAGTCAAGAGAGACTACCTTCCGCATGAAATTGGCGAGTCAGCAGTGGACCTGATGAGAAAGGTAAGTGCATATTTCTCACTTCCTTCTGCCCTATGCTGGAGATACCTGCACACGCACACCAAGCAACTGCATGACATCGAATGCCGGCTGCCTCGGATAGCGCTGTCGCATGGGAAGCTTGAGCTTCTCGCTAACACATGCTCGAACAATGGCGGCGCGCTTATTCGCTTTCGCCGGGGCGGCTGGCTCGGATCATGAAAAAGCTTGAGGTGTCGTACCGTGCTGCCCGGTCAGAAATGCGATACATTGGACGGTGACGAAGCATATGTGGCAACACGACTCGTGCCACCGGCAACACTCGCATTCCCTCGCGATTCACCATATCAAAGTTTGATATCTCTTCGGCCCTAGCTCGCGATACGTTTTTTGATATCCCCGGACTCTGGCTGACTTGCATGTGAACGCATAGATGAAACAGGCTTTCGACCCGCTCTGCCTCCTCAATTGTGATAAGATAGGTAAGTGGTCCCAGTATCCAATGTCCATTCTCATCAGGTTCATGGATACATGCTAATCCATTCTCTTGTGGGAACCAACAGTCCGCGCGGTCCCCCCGAAAGCTGGAGAAGTTGCGGAATGGTAGTTGCCCTGAAAAGTGAAAGATGGAAAAGCTTGGTTTCCACCACACCACACTGTCGCGAAGAAAGCTTAAGTCCCACCACACTGTCAAGAAGTAGTAGTAGTCGTAGTAGCTCCGGCTTACAAAATCTTGATTAGCTCAATTACCGCATCCGGGACCAACCAATCTTCTGCGTTTGGGGCAATAAGGTTACCCTGCTGGTGGGAAGGTCGTAGATGGGTAGGGCAATCGAGCTGCGTTACTACTACGACTAACCACAGTCCACGGTAGGATCCGAAATGCTTTCCGATGAAGATGATTGAGCTATGTACGAGAAGCGGGTGAACGCGGTGCTGCTTGTATCCAAAGGGATGGTACTGGATTTCCGACCTCGTTGGGTCGCTCCTTCTTCCGTTCAGCCCTGTCGGGAAGAGAATGGTGTTTCAGAGTTTGGAGATGAATGGAGTTTCTGTTATTTCCTTGTTCCCTATTCATTATAGATTCCCTTCCCGCTCTCAGACTTTGCACAATGCGCAGGCGCGCGGGCTCTGCGGCCAACAGCGCCTTAATAGATCATACATGTAAAGCCGGATATACGAGAGCCGAAAGTGTTTGCACCTGTCCGGACAGTCCACTTCATCCCTCGATTCTTGATCAAAGCTGTTGTTCGCTCCACCAAGGAGAGATCCGTGTCCCTCTCGTGATCCAGTTGTGATCCCGAGAGGCAGAATGCAACAACAACGCTGGCATCTTGCGTCCACCCAAGATAGATTGCCGCTCCCTGCGAGTGCCCGGTTGCAGAACAAAGAATGGAGAGCTCTGCTTGAGCATTCTGCTGATCCGGTTGTGGCTGTAAAATTCCATCATTGGGCAGACGTGTGAACTTTGTGCACGCTCATCGGGTGTCATGACGGGTGTTGCTGATGAGTTGCCAATATCGCTTCTTGTCACGGGCCTTTGCTCATATTAGCAGCGGTCCAAAATAGATCGTCAGACTCGATCTGTTTGGAAGCTTAATCCCCGGCTTTTCCGTGCTACCGTAGCCCGGGCACGTGGGAGATGGTCCTGCAGGCGTGGTGAACGAAGGATGGATGGACAGATGGATGGTTGGACGTGGGCGAGATCTCGCCCTATGCAGACCATCTGCTGTTAAAAAAGCTTCTTCATAAACGTCCTCACACTCTCGTATGCACTCTCATATCTGCGACGCGATAATGATGGCGGCAGTCATCATTAAATCGAAGACTGCGAGCCAAGCACGACCTTTTAGCTTTGGGGTCTTCGAGCAGTCCAAACGTGCCTAGAAAGCAAAGCTCGGTCAGTTTGTCGTTGTAATCGCCAAAAACAGACAGAGCAAAGTTTGACACGTCCCGAACACTTACAAATTGATGTACAGGGGTAAAGGGTGTCCTTGTATCACAGCGAGTGCAGCTGCGCAAGTCTGTGCTGCCGACTGTGCCGGCCAACCAAACACTCTTGTGAAGAGTGACATGCTGAAAGCAGTGAAAGACTGCGAACCCTGATAGCCCATGGCCATTTGATAAGCATGGGCCAAGGCTGTCTCCCGCTTATCTTTCGTTGCCGCAACGTAAAGGGGGACCCGAAACCTCTTGTGAGAAATGTCGACGAAGCCGGCCTGCTCGAGAAGGTCCTCGGTATCGTCGCGATACTCCAGCGACTTGCCGGCCATCTGGGAAGCATGCAATGTGTATTCCCACCATCTGAGTAGATCAAATCCCTGAGGAGGAAACTCGCGAGCGGAAGTTCGGGGTTTCCAGTCAATCTCGATATGCTCGACCTGGCCTGTGCCCGGGCGAAGCGAGCGATATGCTCTTCGGTACAGCGCTACCCAATCGGGTACAGAGCCACACAGCTGTGCCATGTGAACCAGGTCTACTGAGGAATCTTCGATGGGCCAAGTTGGCGCATTGAAATCAACAGGAGCTTGGAATTGGCAGTTCCTGTCTCGCGGTGGCTGCGAATCATTGACCAAGTCGAGACCGATGATTTCTGTCGACGGGTATCGATCCCTCATCTCGAGCATCCAGTAGCCATCGCCGAAGCCGATGTCTAAAATTCGCCTCGGTGGAGCTGTGAAGGATGCAATGTGCAGTTGCTTGTTCAGAGCAACCGTGTATATGAGCCGGTGCACAATGTCCAGTCGCTCGAGCTCGTTCTATCCCGTTGACATTAGCTCAATATCTCTTTTGGTCGACTGCGGGGGGGTTTCGTACGTCGTCGGCGGGAAACATGTATACATGCTGGCCGTGGCGGTAGTAGGTTCGACCCAGTTCGCCGAACTTTTGCACTTGTTGTGTTTCTGCGGAGTCTGGTCGCAGCAGCGCATCGATGGACATGGATGATCTGGAGGCAGGTGTGGGTCAGCATTGGGTGAGTCCAGTGTTCCTGCCTGATGCATATTCTCGGTCTGGGCGAGGAAAGAGCTACCTGGACATGGTCTTCAGTTGCGCATTATACGGGCCAGAGGGCCGAGCGGCAGCAGTTCCGTGCACAGCTCTCGTCTCCAATGCAGACATCCGCGAAGCCGGTGGTCGATCGAAGGGCCAAGGTCGCGGGCGGGGAGCTGGTGCTGGCGAGGCGTGGGCAGACGTAGAGATGTAGCATGTGTGTGTGCGGCGAGAAGGGACAAGACGGGACGATTGAACATGAAAGCAAAACACGCCACCCAACGATCACAGCCTCATCGACATGTGAGTTCCAGCCAACACGTCCGTTCAGGCGACGGGCCCCGCTGCCTCTTTATTTCAGGCCTGCACCCTGGGCGGGAAGGCGAGAAGGCAGCGGGCGAGGGGCTGCAGGACGTGAGGCAGAGTAGTGCAGCAGCCAGCACCAGCACCAGCACCAGCACCAGCACCAGCACCAGCACCAGCACCAGCGGGCGCACTGCGGGTCCCTCAGACAAGGTTACTGAGGTCGCCGCGTGAGGCAAGATTCGAGACTAAAGCGTCCATGCAGCATGCAGGCTCTGCCCGAAAAAAGGCTGTTCCTCGAGTCACCCACGACCTCGGGATGCCTTGGCATGGGCGAGCTGTCCGCCGCACTCTCAGCTCCACAGCGTAGCGTCGCGTTGTCGCCGCCGTGCCCTCTGCATCCCCATGCCCCATCCCCATGCCCCATGCTGCCTGAGCAGAGCAGAGCAGAGCAGAGCATTCATTCGCCGTGCACACTCCATCACCACGAAGCCTGTCCGCGCCGCGCTGTTGGATCGCTGAACGCCCTTCTCGAAGCAGCGACGCGCGCGCGACCTTCATCCTGCTGCTGCACGCTAGGCTTGGCGTAATGTAGCACGCCCCATGATGATCGAGCGGACCCGACAGTGCGGTCCTGGTCTCACGTTACACCCTCTTTCAAACTTTCGGTGCCATCCTCTACACTCTGCGGAGCACACACCCTGTGGAAGAGCCTCCGAGCCCTGCGACTGCCGTTTGGTCCAATAGGAGAAGCAGACTATGCCTGTCTGATTAAGTTGTTCGAAGTCACAATCTACGACCAATATCACATCTACCACTCCGTCGGCGGACGCTACTGTACTGTTCGCTTCCTCAAAGCGGCTGTAGCTTCACATCCCTGCGTGCATGCAACGAAGGCTGGGCGAAGGAGGAGAAGTCGGTAAAAGGCGCTCCCACTGACACACGCTGCATCTACGATGCCATCACTGACTGGGGTGCCCCAATGACTGGCATCCAATGACGACCGAGCAAAGGCTCCGTTCATGTCAAGGCAGGTCAACTTTGTATCAGATATCGTAGAGTGAAATTTGCGATTATCGATGCAGTACGGAAGTTTGCTGCGCTGCCTCGATGGGAGCTGCAGTGCTCACATGACGAATGCTCGTGCATGTTTCACAGCATTGAGAGTGAGCCGTCGGCTGGCCCAGCTCTGCGCTGCTGCTGATGAACTGGTAGACAACGCTGTTTCCCACTCGCCGCGCCATCGGCATATGGGCGGTTGAAGGCCGGAGAGCGTTGCACAGCATGATGGCCGTTGCCCCCGATACGACCTCTGTCACGGCCCCGATCAGTCTGCCATCTCCTGACCACAGGCTTTTGCAGGCGTCGATGAGTCGCCCGTATGGCGGCCAGCACGTCTAGTTGTTTGCTGCTGTCCATCACAGGAACACCAGTGTACACCCGGGCCAGTGACGCTCAGATCCGCTCACCGCTGCGCTGCAGGAGCAAGCAGGAGACGATGATTTCCACTCGCGCTGCGCTCGGCAGATTCTGCCCTCGCTTGCGAGATGTGGAAAATGAAAAGGAGCATCGTCAGCAAGCATGTCATTGGCAGACAGGACCCAGTGCCGTGTCTCTGGTATTTTGCGAGTGAACTTTGGCGAGCCACATCGCAGAATGCAGATCCCACTCTGCGGGAATTTGTGCCGGCGCGCCAGCACGGAGTTCTCGCGAGGAAGAGCCACGAATCTGGAGACATTGTCTGCGCCGGCGAGACAGGGAAGTGGGATACTGGAGACTGGTATGCGGAAACGGTGCAGCGCACTGCGAGTGCCCGGCCATAAGTTATCGGGCTTGCCTTGCCTTCAAACATGCTGTATGCACCTGTGCCTCATCAGCGGCGTTGATTCAGTTCAACAACCCCGCGCGCTCGCTGGCTAGATCCTGACGCTCTTCTCGCTCGCTGATACCTGCCGTTTAGGTGTGCTACAAACACCGCCCTGTAGGATGCTCAACTTTAAAGAATCGTCGTCCTCGCCAAGCGCATTACATTAACCACAGATGCTGCTGTTGACGATATGTGGCAATGGCACATCTCGCAGCCCGACTGGGCACCTACCACTTCGTGCGTGCAGCGGGCATGGGATCCAGTTCCACCCGAAAAGTACCCCGTTTTCGGCCACTCTTCCGTGTCTTTATTTCGGAGACACGTCGGGAGTCGGGACAGCATGGAGTTGGAGATGTACTCGCCCTGTCCTTCGGCGTGGCGATCAAGCCGAATTCCTCCCGGCGCTACGAACAGGGCCACAGGCGCGAGCGACCTCCCCTCGCCACTTCCCCGAGCCCTAGCTACCCGCCCGAGCCCTAGTAATACAGTAGATTATAGATTCCGCTATTCCTAAAAAAAAATCGTATAGGGAAGCGATTTCCGGATTACTATAACTACTACTAACTAGGCAACTACCTCTATACTACTACTAGCTATAAGGCTAAAGTTTGTTAGTAAATTAGTAGTATAGCAAAATTTAAGGTATTATTAGTTATTAGCTATCTACTTAGGTCTAAGCGGGTTACGACCTATAGTCTTATAACTACTAAGTAAACTTATAGTACTACGATTATAGTACCTAGTAGTAAAGTAGCTATCCTATTAGTTATATAAGCGACTATTATTATTAGTAACGCGCTCCGCGCTATAATACTAACTAAGAATAGATATAATATATAATAGATAGAAATAGTATATAATCTTATTTAGGGCGATTCTATATTAGTATATCTACTAGAGCTCGGTTAGGTAGTATTAGAGGCTATACGTAATTAGTATATAACTAGGCCGAGTAAAGCTAGGGTCCTAATGCCTTAGGCAGGGCTTAGCGCTTAGCGTTAGGCTAACTAGCCTACCTTCCTCCCTCTCCTCTTAGATCTCTATCGAATACTATACTAATTTACTACTACCCTATCTACCTGCTAATATAACCCTTCTTATATAGTATTCGATCTACCCTTTAAGGGCAGCAGCTAGATAGTCCTTATTTCAAGCTTTTAGCGGTATAGCTACGATAACTAATCTAACTATATTACGCCCGAATAGCAGCCTCTACCTCCTTATATAATACGAAGAGAGCAAAAAGAATGGCAGCGAACAATTAGAAGCGAAGGGAAGATAGTTAAGAAGGAAGGGAGGACGAATAGAAAGTACTATATACTAGGGTAGAGGAGGTACTAAAGGCGGAAGATAGAAGAACCCCTAAGAGGGTATATAGGATAATAATCTTAGAACTCCTTAGAGGACTAAAAGCAATCTATAACTAGGCAAGCTACGTAATTACAAAGGTAGCTAATATAGTCGTAGTAAAGATTACGAGGAAACAATAGGAGATAAGCCTAAACTACCGCACCTAAGCAGTAGTAGCTAGTTAGGAGGCGCTAAAACCCCCGAGGACAGTAGTTAGAGTCTATATTACGGACCTATAAGAGCAAAAGGAAATCTAAGGACTTATAGGGAAAGAGATTGTAGAAAGAATTATAGTTAAAGAGGTAATTAGGGCTAGGAACGAAGGTAAAGGGGTAATCAAGCTATTTATAGTATAAGAATAGGATAAAAAGAAGCTAGAAACACAAAAAGAATAGACAACCAAGATAGGGAAAACAGTAAAGGTCTCCTAATAGCAATTTATAATTATAGCCTATAGTATAATAAGAAGCTTTAAGGAAGAGCAGGATATTAAGAGCCTATAGAGACAAAACTAAGCTATATGCCTAGGCCTAAAGATTATAAAAGTGGCATAGATTAAAAGGAAAATCGAAGAGACTAAGAAGCAGTCTTCCCTAATTATCTAGATAGGGAGTATAGAGCAAGCTAACATAGTGCTAGACTAGGGGTTGTTCTAGGACTTTAAAAGATTGGAAACAGAGATATATAGAAGCAACTACAGGATAATACAGTACTTCAAATGTTAATACTATAGACACTTAGTAGCTAAGTACATAAAGACAACTAATACCTACTCCTATTGTATAGGGGATTACTAGGTTAAAGAATGCAAAGCATATAAGGGAGAAGCAAGATATATATACTATACTAAAAGACACCCCTCTTAGGCAAAGGAATACCTAGTAAGAATATAGGCAGCTAGGAAGGTAAAGGAAGCTAGAATCAATATACTAAAAAGATATATAATAAGCTAGGGCAGCTAGGTACAGAAGCAGCCTAGCTAAGTGCTATAAAAGAGGTCTAGATAAGATAATAGGTTTATATTTAGGGCCTTACTAGTACAAGAGAGTTACTAACAACTAGGGAGACTAAGATACCTAGACATTGCAGGAAAGGAAGCAGGGTAGACAAAGCTTAGTTAAATATTGGTCTAAAGTAAGGGAAGACTAAAGGAAAACTTATAGGGAAATGATATAGATAAAACCTAATAAATATAGCAATATTACTAAACATTATATAGTACAATATTAATAAGAGCAAAGACAAGGTATAGAGGAGCTTCCTTTAAGTACTAAACCTAAAAGAATATTACATTATTGCAATCTAAGAGCCCTAGCTCAACCTATATATAAAGAGACTAGTAATAGTTAAAGACCTAAGATACTACCCAATTATCTATAACTAGGGAGCCCTAAGGATATGTATCTATATTAGTAAGGAGATAGATATAGAAACCTAGTAGGCTATACTATAGGAGGATAGGGACCTAACATTAGTTTAAGTAGAGATATCCTAAGGTATACTCTAAGTCTACTGTATATATAACCTACTACTAGACTTAAGAAGCAGTACTTAACTAAAAACCCTAGAAAGACTACCTAGAGTTATCTAGGGGAATACCTACTAAATCCTACTAGGGGATTTCAACCTCTACTACCCCCTCTAGGGCTTAGACTTTACCCTAGCTTACTACTTCCTAGCAGGAAGACTAATTGACATATTAGAGAGGGAAGGAATAGAAATTGTTACCCTAAAGAGACTAATTACTTAGGAGGCAAGAGGAAGCAGTAGTATACTAGACCTATGCTTTATATTACATTAGATTAGGAATAGGATTACAAGATATAGGGTCAACTAGGAACTAGAAGAATTATTAGACTACTTCCCGGTATAGATTAAGCTAAATGTCTAAGCTAATTAGGAAAGGGAACTAGAGGAGAAGCTTAACTAGAAAGGTGCCTAATAGGGCAGGATTAGGGAGGAACTAGAAAGGGACCTAAAACTAGAGGAACTCTTAATAAAGTACCTACTAAGGCTAGAGGACATTAATAAGGCAGTAGAAGAACTAATAGGAATCCTAAAACAGGTAGCTAGAAAGCATACCCTAGTAAAGAAACATTTACTATACTAGCAACTATACTAGACTAGTAAGTGTATAAGGAAGGTTAAAGTAGCAAGGAAGGCTAGGAGGCAGTAGATACAAACCTATACCTAGGAAGTATAGGACAACTATAACAAAGCCTGCTAGGAAAAGAAGATCTAGATCAAGAAAGATAAGATATAAGAATAGAGATCTACAATAGGAATAATTATAAAGAAACTAGAGGAGATATAGAGGATAGCTAAATAGGCAAGGAGACCTAAACAGGATAAGGATATACTACTACAATTCCCGGACATTATAGACTAATAAGGACAAATGTAGACTACAATAGAAGGGAAAGCAAGAGCCCTAGGCTAATACTTCTTCTATAGAAAAGTATAAGCAGACCTATTAGATATAAAGGAGAAAGAACAAGAGACTCTACTACTAGGCACACTAAGAGATACCTAGGTCAAACCCGAAACTATTAAAAGGATCCTAAAGAAAATTCTAGGCAATAAGGCACTAGGAGAAGACAAGATCTATAACAAACTTCTAAAAGCATATAGGAAGGAGCTAGCCCTAGTACTAGCTAATATCTTTTTATAAAGCCTAGTACTAGGATACTACCTAAGACTATTCAGGAAGTCCCTAATAGTAGTACTAAGGAAGCCCTAGAAGGAAGACTATATACAGCTTAAGGCCTATAGACTAATAGCCCTACTTAATACAATAGGTAAGGTGCTAGAAAAAATTGTCGCTAAAAGGCTAACAACCTTTGCCGAGGAAAGGAACATCCTTCCTAAAGGCTAGATAGGAGGAAGAAAGAAGAGGTCAATACTAACAGCTATAGAACTAATTACAGAACAGATTAAGTATATCTAGCACTATAGTTAAAACTAGGTAGTAACCCTCCTCTCCCTTAATATCTTAGGAGCCTTTAACAATGTCTCTTATAAAAGGCTCCTATATATACTTAAATAGAAAGCTATACTAAACTGGATAGTCCAATTTATCTAGTCCTTCCTATAGGAAAGGTCAATATAGCTTATTCTAGGCAAATTCAAATTAGACCTAATACTAACTAAAAAGGGAATCCCCTAAGGATCAATACTCTCCCTAATCCTCTTCCTTATCTTTATAGCAGACCTACTCCTATTCCTAGAATCAAAAAACACATTAGTATTAGGGTTTGTAGATGATACAAACATCCTAGCCTAGTCTAAGACAATAGAAACTAACTGTAAGATCCTAGAAGAGAAGCACTAGGAGTATAAAAAATAGGTAAAGAGGTATAGAGCAAAATTCGCCCTAGAAAAGTACTAGCTTATCTACTTTAGTAAGGCTAAATCAACTTATAACATAAAGTAATCAATTACTATCTAAGGCTTTGAAACCTAACTATTAGTAGAGCTTAGGGTACTAGGGATCTAGCTAGATCTAAAACTGAATTAGGGTCCGGACTATAAGTAAAGAAGGCAAAGCAGAGGGCAGATGCTAATATACAATCTATTAATAGGCTTATAGCCTCTATATAGGGGGCTATATTCGAGAAAGCTAAAGTTATATATAAAGCAATTGTTAAGCTAGCGATGCTATATAGAGCATAGATATAGATAGCCTAGGAGAAAACACTAAAGAGGATTAAGCAACTAGTTAGTAGGTCCTAAACCTAAAGCCTAAAGAAAATCCTAGGAGTATACAAAACTATACTAATAAGGGTAGTGGAAATAGAATTAGGGATCCTACTAGTTAAACAATACTTTAAGGGACTAAGACACTAATATACAGTAAAGACAATAGAATACCTAGCCTAACAGACTATCTAAAAGGCACTAGACAAGATAAAAGCCTAGTATATTAGGACTAGGAGGCGAGACAGACTACAAATAACTCCCTAGAAAGTTAAAGACCTAGAGCAATATAGAGTCTTAACAAGAGAAATGCTAGAGAAAGAGCTTTAGGGACTAAATATAAGGCTAAAGGAAGACAAGCTAAAGGGAGAGAAACAAAGCCTAGTAGAATCAATTGCTAGATACCTATAGGAGCAGGAATAGAACAAAATACAAGTTAGACTAGGAACCCTAAAGGCACTAATCAAATTTGGTTAATATAACTACTAGCTCTATAAGGACCTAAATAGGGCCGAGGTAAGCCTAGCTATCTAAATTAGATCTAAACACATTAGACTTAGATCTTACCTATTTAGAAGAAACGTCCTAGGAATTGAAAGCAGAGCTTACTAATATAGCTACTAATCTTAGAACCCTAAGTATATACTGCTAGTCTGCCCTTAATAGTTAGAAGGTAGAAGTAATTAGAGACTAAAAGCAATAGAAAGGGAATACGACAAGCTAATCTAGAGCAAAGAAGACCTAAAGAGGATAGTAAAGTAGATTATTAAACAGGGATTTGTATAACAATTCGCACTAGCAAGGGAAACTAAGGAGTAGATAAGAAGGAGGGAAGAAGAGGGGGAAAGAAGGGTAGGGTAGTAGGTAAGGTAGTTAGAGGGTAACAACTATAACACTAGTATACCCTAGAGGAAGGAAAACAAGGAAACGAGGAAGATTAACACTTATAAATAGGATAGGAGGGAGGTTTTTACTAACTAAGTTAGTTTCCTACCTAAAACAATATATAGAAACAGACCTATATAGGCCGAAAGGCACTACAACAGGCAAATGAAATATCTATCTATCTATCTATCTATCTATATTACGCCCGAAGAATAGGACCTATACGTACTATTCTATCGAAACAACCGTACTAATTATTAAGTAAGGCCTTCTATACGGCCTATTATACTAAGTTAAGTATACTAGGCCGATATCTACTAATTCCGCTATATCTGTATCTTAGGGGCTAATAATACATTATTAGTATTACCCCTTATAATAGCCGGTTTATTACGAAATAATAACCGTACTGCCGCTAGTAGCGCTAGCAATAACAATACTAGTAGTATAGTGCCTACTAAAGTGCCTACTAAAGCACCTACTAAAGTGCCTTCTACTAAAGAGCCTACCGGAGAGCCTACTAAAGAACCTATAATTCTAGGTAACGATCTAGAATTGTCTATCGACGACATTCTTAACAATATTATTAACCGTCGATATAGCTAACTAGCCTTTAGTCCCTAACTAGTAGCGAGACTTTAAGGAGCTACTTAAAACAGGCTTACTACCTTGCGCTAAGAACAATAGCTAAAGGATAATCTTCTCGAAATTCGTCGCCTATAAGAAGCTCTAGCAACTAATACTAAATTAATAGTAGGGCCTTCCTCTCTATCTGTTTTAGTCTAAAAGAAGGATGCTAAACTTAAGGACTATATTATATTTAATAGCTCTAGTCGAAAACAATATAACGACTATATCCGTAACTACGAGCTTAATTAGCGAAACGCGCTAAGGGCCCTTCTAGACGACTACTCGTTAGTCGTCTATGCTATGCAATATATTAATAGAAACCTAAAGCGCACCTAGGATAACTATTTCGACTCCCTTACTAATTAGACCGCTATTTAGTAGCAAGACTACAAGACTATTATACTAGACACCCTTAGAAACCCTATACTAAGGCAATAATACGCTTAGGACTAATACCTTTAAGCTAAACAAAAGACTAATTAATCGGCTCGCTTATTTAAGGCCTATTTAAAGACCCTCGAGGACGATTTGCTAGCTAAGACCGACTCTATCTAGATTTCCGAAATACGCCCTAAATTACAATAGGAATTAGTCCTTAAATTGGACCGCCGTCGCGTATTCGAATAGACTAATCTAACGCGCATTTAATTTATAGTCGAAGTAGAAACAGCCGAACGGGCTATTTAGCTCTAATAGCGACTAGAATCGAGGATCCGACTAGCTAGTACTAACCGCGGCAACCGTAGTACCTGCGGTAGAAACTAAGGTTCTACCTAAAATAATAATACTAACAATAGAAATAGTAGCAATAACCGTAGAAGAGGCCGTAGCCGGCGACTATATAGAGGAGGCCGCGATAGGGGCCGTAGAAGGGGCTCGTATCCTTATAACGCTAACCGCTCGACTAATAGCAGCTATAGCAACCTCCTAACTAGATTAAAGTGCTTTAATTGCGATAGTACTAGCTATCTACTAGGTTAATGCGACAAACCTAGGGATTAGGCCTAAGTCGACTGTACTACCGCTAAGCACCGAAAGCATCTCTTAGTAGCTAACGCTACCCCTATAGGCTAACCTTCTAATTAGTCGAAAAAAGAGTACGCGCCGCACTAACCGTTAGCCTCGTACGGCGTAAAACTATCGACATTATACTAGCTATTATACGAACCTGTCTTATATAAGATACGTATAGAGCTAACTATAAGACTAAGGTTACGCTAGATCTAGGAAATTTAGTTAGTGCCCTTATTAGCTATCGCCTAGCTAAGCAATTAGACCTTTAACAATTAAATAGGGCTAACCTACTAACCCTTGCTTAGTTTAATAACGCTCGGTACTTGACCTATAGAGCCTACTATATTCCTATAGTTCTAAAGGACGACCTCGGTAATAAGCGTTTGTTAGACTTTACTGCCTATATAGTAGATATAGACAGCCTTCTATCTAATATTGTTATCGGCAACCCTGTCCTTAAGCACTATACTATAGTTATAGACTTAGGCAGTTAATAATAGCGATTTAGAATCGCTAGGAAAGAGGACATTAAGTATATCGACGTTAGCGAGTGCCCTAACGATATTAGGGTCTTGTTTATTAGCAACCTAACACCTGCCTTAGCGGATCCGATAGCTAACCTTCTCGGTAGAGATAACGATAAACCTGTGCCCCCTAATAGCATAGACCCTAAACAACTCGCTCGCATACCTTAGCCTATTCGAGAGACCTATATTAATGTATTTAAACACTACCTAGTATCGACATTGCCTATATTTAAAGAGACGGATTATAAGATTAACATTATAGAGGGCAAAGAGGTCCCTTTTAGTCCCCTCTATAACCTTAGTAAGAGAGAGCTCGCTATATTGCGTAAATACCTAGATAAGAACCTAGCTAATAGTCGAATTTAGTATAGCAACAGCCCTACTAGTATACCTATCCTATTCGTACTAAAGAAAGATAGTAGCCTACGTTTATACGTTAATTACCGTAGGCTTAACGCTATTACTATTAAAGACCGCTATCTACTTCCGCTTATTAATAAGACCCTTAACCGCCTTTCTAGCGCCTGTTTCTATACTATATTAGATATTAAGGATGCGTACTATCGTATCTGTATTCGCAAGGGCGATAAATAGAAAACAGCCTTCCGTACCCGTTATAGCTATTTCGAGTACTTAGTTATGCTATTTAGGCTAGCTAATGCCCCTGCTATATTCTAGTTCTATATTAATCGGGCCCTATTAGGCCTATTAGACTACCTCTATATAGTTTACCTAGACGATATCCTAGTCTATATACACTTACTTAACATTGCGGAACATTAGGCTACTATACGTAAGGTACTCGACCGCCTACGGGCCTATAGCTTATATTGCAAGCCCTCTAAATGTACCTTCGCTACTAAAGAGGTGCCCTTCCTTAGCTTCCTTATATTAACTAATAGTGTAAAGGCTAACCCTAATCGGATTAAGACTATTACTAAATAGCTAATACCTACTAGTATTAAGGAACTTTAGTTATTCCTCGGCTTCGCTAATTTCTATCGTCGCTTTATTAAGGGCTATTTACAGCATGTAATACCCCTAACTAAGCTTACTAAAACTAAAGCCAATCCGTCTAGAGAGTTTAGATAGACTAATAAGACACAAGCCGCTTTTAACGGTCTAAAGAAACGATTTACTAAAGTCCCCTTATTGCACTATTTCGTGCTAAGCAAGCAAATCCGAATTAAGACTAACGCTTTACAGTTCGCTATATCGGCTATTATATCACAGCAATTAGATAATAACTATTATTAGCACCCGATTGCCTTCTTTTTACGAAAAATAATCGATATAGAGCGTCGCTACGAGACCTACGAGTAAGAGCTCTTAGCAATCGTAGAAGCCTTTAAGCATTAGCGCTACTATCTTAATAGTGCTTAGTACACAATTCAGGTCTATACAGACTATAACAACCTCTGTAGTATTACTAAGGTTACTAGGGTTATAGGTCGATAGGCTAGATAGGCCGTCTACCTCGCTAGGTTCGATTTTAATATATTATATCGGCTAGGCGTAAGTAACCCTACTAATAGCCTATCGAGGCGACCTAATTATAATAGCGAGACTTAGCAATCTATTAATTTATTGTTTCTAACCCTATAGCATAAGATTGCTATAGCCCGTATTATTAATAAGCAAGCGTAGGATAAGCGGCTTACTAGACTCCGCGACGGCTCGAAGTATATTAATACTCTTACTATACTAACAGTGCGTATTAAGGACACAGATAGGAGAAGTTATAATAACTCCCTAGTCGATATCGCTATATATAGTAATAGCGATTAAAGCACTACTATAGTTAATCCGGCTACTAGTACTATTAGATATATATAATACGTACCTCGTTTAATAGCGAGGGTGCTATTAAATAACCTTACAAATAGGGATAGTTAATCGTTTATAGATAAGCTATTACGAGCTTAGTAGAGGGACGCCTTTGCTACTAAACGTATCGACAAGCTTGTAAGTAGGCGAAAGACTCGATCTAGTAAGAGTAATTAGTCGATCGACGACAAAGGTTACTTAAGGTTTAAGGGCAGATACTATATCCCCGCTAAACAATCGATTAGACAAGAACTTCTTAAGCGATACTATAATAGTAAGCTTGCTAGTTACTATAGCATAGAGAGGTCGTACGAGCTACTATCGCGTATATACTACTAGCTAAATAGTAAGCGGGATATAAAGGACTACGTAAACACGTATGCCGTATATTAACGTATTAAGGCACTAAAGCATTAGCCTTTTAGCGAGTTGTCCTTATTGCTAATCCCTTACAAGCTATTTATAGAGCTTATAATAGATTTCATTATAGGTCTTCCCTCTACTAAGCGAAGAGGAAGCAAAGACATCTTTAACGCTATCCTAGTCGTTATAGACTAGTTTACTAAGGGCGCTCGATATATCCCGGCGCGGAAGGATTAGACTACGATTAATATAGTAGAAGCGCTATAGAACAACATCTTCTATACCTATTAGGGGACCCCTAAAGGGATAGTCTCTAACCGAGGCTCGATATTTATATCCTATTATTAGAGTAAGATTTGCCTGCAGCTAAGACTCAAGCATCGCCTGTCTATAGCATTCTATCTATAAACAGATAGTTAGACCGAAAGGTAGAATGCTACGCTATAGCAATACTTACAAAGCTACATTAATAAGGACTCTAATAGATAGGTCGACCTCCTATAACCGGCCGAATTTGTATATAACAATAGCGTATATTTATTAACTAGGGTTTTGCTGTATATAGCTGTAATAGGTTAAAACGCCGCGTTGCTATAGGGTCTATTTACCTCGCTCGAGGCCGAGCGTAAGGAAAGGGAAGCGCGTTAAGTACTAACCCCTAAGACACTAGCGGCTATTAAGAGGGTTTAAAAGATACGAGAAATTCACGCTAAGATAGCTAACAAACTAGCAAAGGCCTAGGCCTATTAGAAGGCCTACTATAACAAACACTATACGCTAATAACCTTTAAGCAAGGCGATATAGTTATGCTAAGCACTAAGAACCTCCGTATCCGCAAACACCTATTACCTAATAGCAAAACAAGACCCAAGCTCGTACTAAGATATATTAGCCTATTCTATATTCGAGAAGTTAAGGGCTCTTCCGCATAGGCCTATTAGTTATAGCTTCTACCTTATTACACTATCTATAACACCTTCTACGTATCCCTCCTAAAGCTATATTATCTACGCGAGGGGGATAAAGCCCCTACTAAACACGAAGACATACTAGCGGATAGTAAAGAGCTGTAGTCTATAGAACGTATCCTACGGCACCGGACTAGAAAAGGCAAGAAGGAGTACCTATTAAGATAGTAAGGCTATTTACCTAAATAGGACTCGTAGGAAGCTAAAGACTCCTTCGAGGATATAGCCGAGTTGTTAGATAAGTATTAGACTAGCGTAAAGAACAAGAAGAAGTCTAAAAGCTCGTAATGTTACTAAGGCTAGGATAATGCTACCCCCGGGGTGCTATTAACTAACTAATTAGAGGCCGGCAAACTAGGACAATAAGACTACACTACTATAGCGAACGCGTACTAAGTGCTAATAAACGCGCTATAACGCGTTAACTATTCGCTACTCTTTTAGGAAACTACCTCTTTATTAGCGTATCCTATAAGACCCTTCTCTTAGCGCCCCCTTGTTCTATCGAGATCTCGAGGCCTAGGCGGTCGGCGGGGATAGCACGCGCGGATAGTAATAATAATAATAACGACGGCGCGGCCGGCGCGGCTATATTAGTAATAGTATTACGGAGTGTATTACTATTTAAGAAAGGAAGGACATAGCTATATTAGTAACGGTATTGCCGAGTTATTATTAGTTGTTAGGGCTAAAGAGGCTACACGTGATTGGCATATAACTAGGCTAAGTGAAGCTAGGGTCTCAGTGCCTTAGGCAGGGCTTAGCGCTTAGTAATAGGCTAACTTGCCTACCTTCCTCCCTCTCCTCCTAGCTCCTTATCGAATACTACCTATACCTACTACTACCCTATCTACCTGCTAATATACCCTTCTTATACAGTATTCGATCTACCCTTTAAGGGCAGTAGCTAGATAGTTCTTATTTCAAACTTTTAGCGGTATAGCTACGGAAACTATCGATTTAACTATATTACGCCCGAAGGACGGGACCTATACGTACTATCCTACTAAGAACAACCGTACTAATTATTAAGCAAGGCCTTCTATACGGCCTATTATACTAAGTTAAGCACATTAGACCGATACTCGCTAATTCCGCTATATCCGCACTATAGGGGCCTATAATACATTATTAGTGCTACCCCTTATTATAATAGCCGGCTTATTACGACACAACAATCGCGGCGCCGCTAGCAGCGCTAGCAACGACAATGCTAGTAGTACAGTGCCTACTAAAGTGCCTACTAAAGTGCCTACTAGAGCACCTACTAAAGTGCCTCCTACTAAAGAGCCTGCTAGAGAGCCTACTAAAGAAGAACCTATAATTCTAGGTAACGACCTAGAGTTGCCTATTAACGACATTCTTAACAATATTGTTAATCGACGATATAGCTAACTAGCCTTTAGCCCTTAACTATTAGGGAGACTTTAAGAAGCTACTTAAAATAGGCTTACTGCCCTACGTTAAGAATAATAGCTAAAGGATGATCTCCTCGAGCTCCGTCGCCTTTAGGAAGCCCCGACAACTAAACTAATAGCGGGACCTTCTTTACTACCTATCTAAAAGAAGGACGCTAAACTTAAGGACTATACCATATTTAACGGATCTAGTCGAAAGTAGTATAACGACTACATTCGTAACTGTAAACTCAACTAGCGCAACGCACTAAGAGCGCTACTAGACGACTATTCCTTAGTCGTATACGCTATATAGTATATCAATAGCGACCTAAAGCGTATATAGGATAACTACTTCGATTCCCTCGATAATTAAACCGCTGTTTAGTAGCAGACCTATAAAACCATTATACTAGATACCCTTAGAAACCCTATACTAAGGCAATAATATGCTTAGGACCTATATCTTCGAGCTAAACAGAAGACTAATCAATCGGCTCGCTTATTCGAGGCCTATTTAAAAACCCTTAAAGACGACCTTCCGCCTAAGACTAATTCTATATAGATCTCCGAGATACGCCTAAAACTTAGATAGGAGCTTATCCTCGAATTAGACCGTCGCCGTATATTTAAACAGGCTAACCTAATACGTATTTAATTTATAGTCGAGGTGGAAACAGCCGAACGAGCTATCTAGCTCTAATAACGACTAGAATTAAGGATCCGACTAGCTAGTACTAACCGTAGCAACCGTAGTAGCCGCAGAGGAAATCAAGGTTCCTACTAAGATAATAATACTAACAATAGGAACAGTAATAACGACCGTAGAAGGGGCCGTAGCCGACGGCTATATAGAGGAGGCCGCGATAGGGGCCGTAGAAGGGACTCGTATCCTTATAATACTAACCGCTTAGCTAACAACAGTAACAATAGCTACGGCAGTCTACTAACCGGATTGAAGTGCTTCAATTGTAATAGCACTAGCTATCTACTAGGCTAATGCGATAAACCTAAGGACTAGGCCCGAATTAATCGTACTTCCGCTAAATACCGAAAGTACCTCTTAGCGGCTAACGCTACCCCTATAGGCTAACCTTCGAAAAAAGAGTAAGCGCCGCACTAACTGTTAGCCTTGTGCGGCGTAAGACTATCGACATTGTGCTAGCTATTATACGTACCTGTCTTATATCTAGGCCCGATACTAACTATAAGGCAAAGGTTATACTAGACCCCGGAAATTCAGTTAGCGCCCTTATTAACTATCGCTTAGCTAAGCAATTAGACCTCCGACAATTGCCTAGGACTAACATACTAGTCCTTGCTTAGTTTAATAACGCTCGGTACTTAACCTATAGGGCCTACTATGTTCCTATAGTTCTAAAAGACGACCTCGGAAATAAACGCCTACTAAATTTTACTGCCTACGCGGTAGACATAGACAGCCTCCTATCCGACATTGTTATTAGCAACCCTATTCTTAAGTACTATGCTATAGTAATAGACTTAGGCAGTTAATAATAGCGATTTAGAATCGCTAGGAAAGAGGACATTAAATATATTAATATTAGCGAGTGCCCTAACGATATCCGGGTCCTGTTTATTAGCAACCTAACACTAGCCTCCGCCTTAGCTAATCCGACTACCGATCTACTCGGTAGTAATAACGATGAACCTGTGCCCCCTAATAATCCTAATTAGCTTGCTCGTATACTAGAACCTATCCGAGAGACCTATATCGATATGTTTAAACACTACCTAGCATCGATATTGCCTATATTTAAAGAGACGGATTATAAGATTAATATTATAGAGGGCAAAGAGGTTCCTTTTAGTCCCCTCTACAACCTTAGTAAGCGAGAGCTTACTATATTGCGTAAGTACCTAGAGGAAAACCTAGCTAATAGTCGAATTCGGTATAGTAATAGCCCTGCTAGTGCACCTATCCTGTTTGTACTAAAGAAGGATAGTAGCCTACGCCTATATATCGACTATCGCGGGCTTAATACTATTACTATTAAAGACCGCTATCTACTCCCCCTTATTAATAAGACCCTCGGGCGCCTTTCTAGGGCTTACTACTATACTATACTAGACATTAAGGATACGTACTATCGTATCCGCATTCGTAAGGGTAACGAATAGAAAACAGCCTTCCGTACTCGCTATAGCTATTTCGAATACTTAGTTATGCTATTTAGCCTAGCTAATGCCTCTGCAACATTCTAGTCCTATATTAATCGAGCCCTTTTAGGCCTATTAGACTATCTCTATATAGTTTACCTAGATAACATCCTAGTTTATATACATTTACCTAATATTATAGAACACTAGGCCGTAGTACGCAAGGTCCTCGACCGCCTGCGAGCCTATAGCCTATATTGCAAGCCTTCTAAATACACCTTTGCTACTAAAGAGGTGTCCTTCCTTAGCTTCCTCGTATTAACCGAGGGTGTTAAGGCTAATCCTAATCGGATCAAAACTATTACTAAATAGCCTATTCCTACGTTAATTAAGGAACTATAGTCGTTCCTCGGCTTCGCTAATTTCTATCGTCGCTTTATTAAGAGCTATTTACGACATATAATGCCCCTAACTAAGCTTACTAAAACTAAGGCTAACCCGTCTAGAGAGTTCAAATAGACTAACAAAACACAAGCCGCTTTTAACGGTCTAAAACAACGCTTTACTAAAGTCCCCTTATTATACTATTTCGTACTAAGTAAATAGATCCGAATTAAGACTAACGCTTTACAGTTCGCTATATTAGCTATTATATTATAGCAGGCTAATAACACCTACTAGCACCCGATTGCCTTCTTCTCGAGGAAGATAATTAATACTAAACGTCGCTACGAGACCTACGAGTAAGAGCTCCTAGCTATTATCGAGGCCTTTAAGTATTAGAGGCACTACCTCGATAGGGCTTAATATACAATACAGGTCTATACAGACTATAACAACCTCCGTAGCATTACTAAGGTTACTAGGGTTATAGGTCGATAGGCTAGATAGGCCGTCTACCTCGCCGGGTTCGATTTTAATATATTATACCGGCTAGGCGTAAGTAACCCTACCGATAGCCTATCGAGGCGACCTAATTACGATAGCGAGACCTAATATATTAATTCATTGTTTCCAACCCTATAGTATAAGATTGCTATAGCCCGTATTGTTAATAAGCAAGCGTAGGATAAGCGGACTTCCGGACCCGCGGCGGTAACAAATACTATAGCGGAGTTATCGTTCTTCTAGTGCGCGTTAGAAAGGACGTAGATCGCTCGAGCTATAATAACTCGATTAAAGACATTGCTATCTATAGTAATAGCCTATATAGCGATAGCACTATAGAAGAGGTTGTAGTAGTTCCGGCTACTAGTACTATTAGATACATATAATACGTACCTCGTTTAATAGCGAGGGTGCTATTAAATAACCTTACAAATAGGGATAGTTAATCGTTTATAGATAAGCTATTACGTGCTTAGTAGAGGGACGCCTTTGCTATTAACCGTATTAATAGGCTTGTAAGTAGGCGAACGACTCGATCTAGTAAGAGTAATTAGTCGATCGACGATAAAGGTTACTTAAAGTTTAAGGGCAGATACTATGTCCCCGCTAAACAATCGATTAGATAAGAGCTTTTAAAGAGGCACTATAATAGTAAGCTCGCTAGTTACTATAGTATAGAGAGGTCGCACGAGCTACTATCGCGCATATACTACTAGCTAAATAGTAAGCGGCATATAAAGGAGTATATATAGACCTATATAGTATACTAGCGAGTTAAAGCACTAAAGCACTTACTATTCGGCGAGTTGTCTTCACTTCCTGTTCCTAGGAAGCCGTTTGCTAAGCTTATAATAGACTTTATTATAGGCCTTCCTCCTACTAAGCGTAGGGGCAGCAAGGATATATATAATACTATCCTTATTGTAGTAGATCGATTTACTAAAGGCGCTCGATACATCCCGGCGCGCAAGGATTAGACTGCTATTAATATAGTAGAGGCGCTATAGACTAACATCTTCTATACCTATTAGGGAACCCCTAAGGGGATCGTATCCGATCGTAGATCGATACTAATATCTTACTATTAGAGCGAGATTTGCTTATAGCTAAGACTAAAGCATCGGCTATTAATAGCCTTCTATCTATAGACTAACGGTTAACAAGAGAGGCAGAATGCTACCCTATAGCAGTACCTACGTAGTTACATTAACGAGAACCCTAACGACTAGGTTAACCTCCTACAACTAGCTAAAATCGTATACAATAATAGTGTCTACTTATCGACTAAGGTATTACTATATATAGCTATAATAGGCTAGAATGCTACTATACTATAAGACCTACTATCGCTCGAGGCCGAGCGTAAGGAAAGGGAAGCGCGTTAAGTACTAGAGATACTAGCAGCTATTAAGAGGGTTCAAAAGATACGAGAAATTCACGCTAAGATAGCTAATAAACTAGCAAAGGCCTAGGCCTATTAGAAGGCCTACTATAACAAACACTATACGCTAATAACCTTTAAGCAAGGCGATATAGTTATACTAAGCACGAAGAACCTCCGCATCCGTAAACACCTATTACCTAATAGCAAAACAAGGCCCAAGCTCGCACTAAGATACATTAGCCTATTCCGCATTCGAGAAGTTAAGGGCTCCTCCGTATAGGCCTATTAGTTATAGCTTCTATCTTATTATACTATCTATAACACCTTCTACGTATCCCTCCTTAAACTATACTACTAGCGTAAAGGAAATAAAGCGCCTACTAAGTTAGAAGAAGTCTTAGCTAATAGTAAAGAGCTATAGTCTATAGAACGTATCCTAAAGCACCGGACTAGGTAAGGCAAGAAGGAGTACCTGCTAAGATAGTAGGGCTATTTACTAGAATAGGACTTATAGGAAGCTAAAGACTCCTTTAAGGACATAACCGAGTTGTTAGATAAGTATTAGACTAGCGTAAAGAACAAGAAGAAGGCTAAGGGCCTATAATGTTACTAGAAAGGTCTAGGAACAATGCTACCCCTAGGGTGCTATTAAGCTAACTAATTAGAGGCAAGCAATTATTAGCAAAGAACAATAAGACTACACTACGATAACGAACGCGCAACGAGTACTAACGAGCGTACTATAACTATTAACTACTCGCCTACTCTTTTAAGGAATCTACCTCTTTACTAGCGTACCCTATAAGACCCTCCTCTTAGCGCCCCTCTTGTTTCTACGTCCTATCGAGGCCTAAGGCCTAGGCGGTCGATAGAGGCGGCGCGCGCGCGTAGGCGAATAGTATTAGTAATAATAATAGTAACGATAGCGTTACGCTTATACTAAAGGGCGACATAGCTAGCGCGGCTATATTAGTAACGGTATTACGGAGTATATTATTAGTCGAGGAAGGAAATCGGAAGCAAGGTAAAGTTAGCGCTAAGACGACTAGCGCCGCTATTATTAATATTACTTACTATTATTACTACGCCTATAGATATAACCTTACCTATACTACGAGCCTAAGGCACCTTTAATTAAAACTTTAATTAAAACTTTAAGGCTAAGTTAAAATATTAAGGCTTAAAAGGATTGAGTAACTTAATAGATTAACTAACTAAGGGCAAAACTATAGAGCTAAGCTAGCTAGAGTCGATCTTGCGGACAATAGGTTACTCCTTAATCTTTCCGACCCTTTAAGCGAGGCGAACCTCTACTACTATACTTATAATAGCCTTTACCTATAGAAACTAGACGAGCTATGTTTTTTGAAAAGATAAGATAAGATTGACACTTAAAGGCTACTAAACCTAGCTAATTAGGGCTAGCGAAACTACGAACAATAAGAATAATAACCCTCGGAAGTATAAGGGTCGGTAGCTAAGTAGTAAAAATATATACGAAACTTTAAACTAAACTAAAGGGAGCACTAAATTAATATAGCTGCTATCTATATAAGACGAACTGCGAAGAAAGGAAGAAGGGTGCCTTAGAGGGAGAGCCCCTTCCTTAGTATTCCGCCCTACGGCCGTCTAGCGCGTCCGACGCGTAAGCGTAAGTACGTATATCCTGCTTGCTAGCTTCTTAGCAAACCTCTGCCTTTAGGTCCTTCCTTGCGCGCTAAGCGCGCGCGCGCGTATCCCGCTTATCCGCTATCTCGTAGCGCCTTTATCTCCTAGCTAACTTACGCGGCGCGCGTATACAAACTCGTTTAATCGCTCTTAAGCAAATATGTTTCTCCTAGCTCTTCCCTATCTTCCGGTTCCTTCCTACTACTCGGATCTGTCCTACGACTCTATATATCTTACTTGCTATCGTCCGTATATATATACGCGTAGTTTAGTGCAGTCCCGTCGTTCGTATATTAATATATAACGTATTGTTCTACTATATACGGCCTCTGCGGGAGTCCCTAAGATGTTACGTTATACGGCTAAATAGGCGGCTAACTAGGCGACCTAGGCGACCTAGGCGACCTAGGCTAACTAGGCGACCTGCTTCGCTAGGGGCCTCTACTACTAAGGCAACTTAAATCCGACATTACTTTATAGTATAGCGGCTAGCTTATAGGACTTGTCGGTACTTTCTAGGCAGCTACTATAATAGTAGCCCCCCCCTCGTTCTACGCGGAGTTCCTACGACGCTAAAGGAGGTCCGTATATAATAGGTACTAGTGTTCTTGTCCTAGTTCGGGTCGGAGACCTTAATCTAAATTCTATTTATACGCTTCTTAGAGAAAATGTTCTAGGACAGCTCCTTCTATTATCGTATAGTCGGTATAGTCTCGTAGGAATTCCTCGATTGCTTTGCGGGCGAAGATAATATAGCGTAGAGGTTCCTAAGTCGTATCCTCGTCTAAGTACCCCTCCTATTATACCTCTCCCTATAGCCTAGGAGGGTTGAGATTTCCGAAATTTGTGTTACTAAAGCTCTATCCGATAATCGCCCGTACTATACCTAAGGCAGATTCCGGCTCGTCTTCGGCCTAATCGGTAGCCTCGGTAGCTTCCGGTATCGGCAAAATGTCTTCGGGGTCCGCGATTTCTCCGGCGGTTCTTAGGTTAATAACGTATTTAACCGGGTAAATGTTAAGATTTTCGGGGAGATCTAGTTCGTATACGTATATACCAATTTTCTTTATAATTCGGAAGGGTCCTAGATTTTTCTAGTCGAGCTTTTTCGAAGGTCGGTTAGTTCTAATATATCGTAAGTCGAGGTAGACGTAATCTCCGACCTAGTAATCTAGCGCGGCGCGTCTACGCTAATTAGCGTAGTACTCGTATACTTCTTAGGCATACCTTATCTCGTCCTAGAGCTCTTAGTAGGTCTAGGCTATTTAAAGAGCGAAGGCATCGGCGTCTCTTTCCGGATCGTTTGCCGGGGGCTCTAGTTCGATCTCTATTAGTTCTATACCGGTTCGAGGGTAAAATCTAGTAGAGGCGTAGAACGGCGTAGTCTAAGTTATAGCCGACTCCTAATTGTTAATAGCAAATTTAATAGAAGGCGTTAATCTTAGCTAGTCGTTTTAGTAGTAATTGTAGAAGCACCTAATAATTTGCTCGATCTGCGCGTTAGCCCGTTCGGTTTAGCCGTCGGTCTACGGGTAGTAAGCCGTTAAAAGGCGCGCTTAAATTTTCAATCGTTCGTAGAGGCGCTTCTAGAAACGGGTAACGAAATTCGGGCCGCGATTAGATAAAATTAATTCAGGTAGGCCTATATCTTTCTATACGTCCCGGTAGAAGACCTAAGCCGTATTCTTTACGGTTAGGCTACGGGCATTTAATACCTTCTTGCGTTTCGTAAGGCGGTAAACTACGACTAGTATGTTTTAAAACTAGAGGCCGTTAAAGTCGGATCCTTTCGGTAGGTCTATAATGAAATCTATTAAAATGTGTTGCTATAGTCGTAGAGGGACTTTAAGAGGTTTTAGTAGCCCTTACGGCTTACGCGTATCTGCTTTCGCTCTACGGTATACTACGCAGTTCTTAACGAATCGGTCGACATCTCGGTATAAATTAGGCTAGTAGTACTACTTCCGGAGCTAAGATAACATCTTAGCTCGACTAGGATATGCTATTCCGAGAGGGTTGTAAGCGGAACGTATAATCTAGTCGCGTAAATCTTCGAAATCCGGGACGTAGAGGGCATTTCTAAATGTTGTACGGGGTACTCGCGGTAGAGTTCTACGGAGCTCGTACAGTTCCTAGCTAAGGTTGTGCTCTTTAAGGATAGACTGTTCTTTACGCTACGGACCTCGATCTAAGGGCGAGTCTCCGTTACGCCTCGTAAGTACGTCGGCCTATAAGTTTGCTTTGCCGGGCGTATACTAAATAACGAAGTTAAACCGGGAAAGAAACTTACTCTAGCGTACCTACCTACGGCTAAGGATTTTGCTCTTAAGAAAGTAGATAAGGTTCTTGTAATCCGAGCTAACCTAGATCGGTAACTTAGAACCTTCGAGTTCCGGACGCTATTCTTCGAAAGCCTTAACGATTACGAGGAGCTCCTTATCGTAGATGTCGTAATTGCATTCCGCGGAGGACATTTTCTTAGAGAGGTAGGCTATAGGCAGCTACGCATCTTCCGGGGTCGTTCGTTAAAGGAGAATAGCGCTAGTTATACCGTCGGAAGCATCGGTTTCTAGGCGCGTTTCTTTATCGAAGTCGAAGTACTATAGGATCGGTACGGTCGTAAAACTTTGCTATAACTAGTCGAAGGCTTCTTAATAGGCCGGTAACTATTTAAATTTAACGTCTTTCCGCGTAAGTGCTATAAGTAGACGGGCGATTCTGCTAAAATTCCGTATAAATCTCCGGTAGAAGTTAGTAAAACCGAGGAAGCCCTAGACTTCTTTTACGTTTCGTAGCACTCCCTAGTTTAGTACGGCTTCGATCTTGCCGGGATACATTCGAATACCTTCTAAAGAGACAATAAGGCCGAGGAATTTCACCTCTTACTTATAGAATTCGTACTTATCGATATCGATATATAGTCTAGCTTCTACGAGTTTCTAAAGTACCTTTTCGATGTGTTCGTAGTGTTCTGCTTTTGTTTTACTATAAATTAGGATATCGTCTATATACGCCGAGACGAAGGCGTCTAGGAATTCTTTAAGCGTATCGTTAATATATAATTAGAACGTGCTAGGTCCGTTATAGAGCCCGAACGGCAAGACTAGGTATTTAAAAAGGCCGTAACGGGTTCGGAAGGCTATTAACTATTCGTCTCCCTCGGCAATACGGATCGCGTTAAAGGCGGCGATTACGTCGAGCTTAGTAAACTAGCGAGCCTTCGAAAGGCGTTCGAGCGTTTCGTTTACGAGAGGGATTAGGTAGCGGTTCTTTTTCGTTAACGCGTTAAGGCCCCGGTAGTCTACGTAGAAACGGAGACCTCCGCCGGGTTTCCGGGCAAATATAACTAGTACGGCTGCTTCGGAGGAACTAGGGCGGATAAAGCCCTTTTATAGGTTGTCTTCTAGGTATTTCTTTAGTACGAGGAGCTTATCTCGAGACATCGAGTAAAGAGGGCCGTATAGCGGCAGCTTACCGTCGATTAGCTCGATTTTATAGTCGATACCTAGCCGGTACGGTAGTAGAATATCGGCGTTCTTCTTCGAAAACTAGTAGAGTCGGTGCTAATACTCCTTCGGTAGTTTTATTCTTAGATCCGTCGGTTCTTCGTCGAACTTTCGGATAGCCTTCTCGATATCCTATATTATTATAGCGAAGATCTAAGTGCGTTTGTCGCGGGTAAGACGCGAGAAGGCAGCCGCGCTAATAGCGAATATAGTACGATCTCGGGGAGTATCGGAGGTAGAACTAGATTCGTTAAAGTAGTACTTAGCGTAATGCTTACTCGTAAAGGATAGAGATTCGGAGGCCTAGTCGATAACCGGGTTATACTTCTTAAGCTAAGGAAGATTAAAAATAATAGGGTAAGTCTTCGGGAGTTTCGTAAGGAAAAACATAATATATTCGGTATACGGGCCGATAGTAATAGATAAGTAGCAGATCTAGGTTACTTTGCCGGCGGCCGCGGTCGTACCGTTAAACATTTCTAACTCCCGAGCGTACGTAAGGTCTTAGAACGTTAAGCCGAGCTCTCTCGTATAGTCGTAATCTATAAACGAGTAGCCGGTTGCGCCGTTGTTAATAAGAGCTACAGTTTTCAATAATTTCTTTTAATTTCCTATTAACGTTTCTACTACGAAAGGCTAGTAGACTAACTCTTTCTCTATAGCCGAGCTAGAGAAAGGGAAGGTAGTAGCAGATACTCTTAGTTTTAGAACGAATGAACCTTATAAGCGACTATATATAAGGTTCAAGCTTTTCCCTAGCCGCTCGGAGTAGCGCTAGCTAGTAAAGGCGTATCTAGAGTCGTAACATTCGCGGCGGCGACTCGCTATATCGTTAGCGTATTTAGCCGGCCGACGAGAGACAGGTAGAGGCGAGCAATATATCCTTTTACTCCGTAGTAGATATATTCTTCTACCGTACGGCGACGCTACTTCTCTTCTTTCGAAAGCTTACTATTTACTAGGGGCGCGCGTAGACGGGCGCCGAGCGAGGCAGCGCTTAAATCTATCGGATCGGCGGTAGGCTAGGCGCCTAGCGGTATTAGGGCTATAGCTAGAGCTAGTGCTAAAGCCGGCGTCTAAGCTGTCTATAACTTCGATAGTAGCGTAGCGAACAGCGACGTAAAGCGACCGGCATTCGTATAGGCGCCTCCGCGGTTAGCGATAATTTTCGCGAAGTTTCGAGTCGTATTATCGATATACGTAAGCAAGGCGTACAGTTCGGTAATATTTAGATTCTCTGTATCCTTATCGCGGACTTATAGTATTATTTCTTCGCTAAGGCCGCGCACTAAGATCCACTTAGCGACGTCCGGGGGGTATTCGGCGTACCTAATCTCGTATTAGAAGGCGGTATAGTACTCTTAGTAGGTCTTATTTACTTGCTTAAGTTTGTCTAAGTTTAGGCGCGTAGTTTGCTTACGGTCGGGGTCGCCGAAACTAGCGTCGAGGGCCTTCTAGATAGTAGCCGTTATAGTTGTTTCTATATTTTCTAAAAGGCTATAGTAGGAATCGAGGGCGGAGCTACCGAGTAGAGAAAACATAAATCCGGTCTTTAAGGCTTTAGTCGGATAGTAGTCGGCGTTAGCGAGAAAGCGGATCTTAACCTATATCTTAAATTCTTCGTATACTTTACGCTTACCGGTAAAGCGTTCGGGGTCGCTTAGCTTCTTACTCTTGTTCGAAGTAGGTATAAATAGGTAAGAGGCAGGTACCGCGGCGCCTAGGCGAGTAGAGGCGAGCTACGACTAGAGGCGGCCTACCTCGTCTTCTTTTTCCGCGATAGAAGCATTCGCGTCGCTAAGAGCCGTACTAAGGCTAGTACGGGAGACCGAGAGGAAACGAGTAGCATCTTTATAAGCCTTAAGTAGGTTAGCGAGCAGTTCCGGGTCGGTAGCGTAGGCGTAGTCTAGCTATTCGCGCGTAGCGGGGATTTCATTCTATACTAAGCTTAAAAAATCGGGTACTTCGTTAGGTCTTATATTTTAAATCCATTCGTCGGGCGTGTCTATCTTAATAGAGGCGTTTTTTAAGGCAGTTCGTAATATAAGGGTCGGTAGCTAAGTAGTAAAAATATATACGAAACTTTAAACTAAACTAAAGGGAGCACTAAATTAATATAGCTACTATCTGTATAAGACAAACTGCGAAGAAAGGAAGAAGGGTACCTTAGAGGGAGAGCCCCTTCCTTAGTATTCCGCCCTACGGCCGTCTAGCGCGTCCGACGCGTAAGCGTAAGTACGTATATCCTACTTGCTAGCTTCTTAGCAAACCTCTACTTTTAGGTCCTTCCTTGCGCGCTAAGTGCGCGCGCGCGTATCCCGCTTATCCGCTATCTCGTAGCGCCTTTATCTCCTAGCTAACTTGCGCGGCGCGCGTATACGAACTCGTTTAATCGCTTTTAAGCAAACATATTTCTCCTAGCTCTTCCCTATCTTCTAGTTCCTTCCTACTACTCGGATCTGTCCTACGACTCTATATATCTTACTTGCTATCGTCCGTATATATATACGCGTAGTTTAGTGCAGTCCTATCGTTCGTATATTAATATATAACGTATTGTTCTACTATATACGGCCTCTGCGGGAGTCCCTAAGATATTACGTTATACGGCTAAATAGGCGGCTAACTAGGCGACCTAGGCGACCTAGGCGACCTAGGCGACCTAGGCGACCTAGGCTAACTAGGCGACCTGCTTCGCTAGGGGCCCCTACTGCTAAGGCAACTCAAATCCGACATTACTTTATAGCATAGCGGCTAGCTTATAGGACTTATCGGTGCTTTCTAGGCAGCTACTATAATAGGAAGCGGATAAACCCTCGGAAGCGGACATTGCTAGGTCTTTTAAGAGTAGACGTAAAGAACTCAATATAATATTACTTAGAACGGAGGCAGTGCTATAATACCTCGTATGTCTACCTATTATAGCAGGGAAGACGCGCTCGTATTATAATTAGTCGAAGGCCTTTAATTCTTATAGATATATATTACTTTATAGTTTATTATATATAGAGATAGCGCAGTTAGAGTTGTATATTATATTATTTAGAGGTAAGGTTTAACATAGTTATATAATTTGGTAGTTAAGTGTTTAATTTAGCGCGGGCTAAGTAGCTTATTAGACTTGCTAAGTTAGCGGTAATAGAGGTCGTAGAATATAGACAGGCTACGAGGGCGCGGCCTTTAGAAGGGAAGCGTATATTAGGGCTAAAGAGGCTATATGTAATTAGTATATAACTAGGCTAAGTAAAGCTAGGGTCTTAGTGCCTTAGGTAGGGCTTAGCGCTTAGCAATAGGCCAACTTGCCTACCTTCCTCCCTCTCCTCCTAGCTCCTTATCGAATACTACCTATACCTACTACTACCCTATCTACCTGCTAATATACCCTTCTTACATTAGTTAAAGAAGGAAATTAGAAGAAGGTAAAGTTAGCGCTAAGACGACTAGCGCCGCTATTATTAACATTACCTGCTATTACTACTATACTTGCGAAAACAACCTTACTTATACTACAGCCTAAGGCCGGAAGCGCGCTATACTAATTAAGTTAAAAGAATAGCTGTATTAAAGGTTTAATCAAAACTTTAATTAAAACTTTAAGCCGCTTAAAAGATTAAGCGACTAATAGACTAGCTAACTAAGGGCAAAACTATAGAGCTAAGTTAGCCGGGGTCGATCTTGCGGACAATAAGTTACTCCTCGATCTTTCTAATCCTTTAAGCGAGGCGAACCTTAACTACTATACTTATAATAGCCTTTACCTATAGAAACCGGAAGAACCGTGTTTTTTAAAAAGATAAGATAAGATTGACACTTAAAGGCTACTAAACCTAGCTAATTAGGGCTAGCGAAACTACGATAGTAAATAATAGCCCTCGTAATAATAAGAACAATCCCTCGTAATAATAAGAACAACCCTCGGAAGCGGACATTTCTAGGTCTTTTAAGAGTAGACGTAGAGAACTCGGTACGACATTACTTAGAACGGGGGCAGTGCTACAATACCCCGTATACCTACCTATTATAGTAGGGAAGGTGCGCTCGTATTATAATTAGTCGATAGTCCTTAATTCTAGTAGTTATATATTACTTTATTATATATAAGGATAGCGCAGTTAGAGTTAGACATTGTACTAGAAGGTAAGGTTTAATATAGTTACATAATTAGGTAGTTAAGCGTTAATTTAGCGCGGCTAAACAGCTTAGTTAATCTACCGAGTTAGCGGTAGCAGAGATTAGATTAGAATATAGACAGGCTACGAGGGCGCGGCCTTTAGAAGGGAAGCGTATATTAGAGGCTATACGTAATTAGCATGTAACTAGGCCGAGTAAAGCTAGGGTCCTAATGCCTTAGGCAGGGCTTAGCGCTTAGCGTTAGGCTAACTAGCCTGCCTTCCTCCCTCTCCTCTTAGATCTCTATCGAATACTATACTAATTCACTACTACCCTATCTACCTGCTAATATAACCCTTCTTATAGGTAGCTAGGACTTAGGGAAGTAGGGACTCTAGTAAGGAACTACTTCCTAGTCTAGCTTATACTAGTAATAGAGTCTACTAATTTATAGATAGTATATACGCTCTATAGTATACTATATATATAAGTCTTTTAAGTTTTAGGTAAGCTCGTTATATCTATATAAGGTAGAGTTATTAGATATACTAATATCCTACCTATAATTCGCTAAGCTACTTAATATTACTTAGATATCCTAGTATCCGGATATAGCCGATATATATATATATATACTAGTATATACTAGTCTATTATATAGTATAAATAGTCCGGATCTTAAAGAGAGTATAAACCTATATTCCTAGCTTATATATAAAAGCTAGCGGCTACTATCTAGGGACCTAGGGTAGCTCTATCCTATTACTAATACTACTCTATAACTAGTTATAGAGCTATATATATATATATATATAGGTATACGCTCTATAATATACTATATATATAGGGGCGGAAAATTTAGCTAGTATATATATATAAGGAGGAGTTATCGGATACGCTAATATCCTACCTATAGCTAGCTAGGCTACTCGATAATCCTTAGATATCCTAGTATCTAAGTAGGGCCGACATATGTACACAGGTGTCCACTAGTGTATTATACAGTGTATAGAGCCTGCATTTATAGAAAGCTGTATTCTAACATCCCTACCTATAACCCTAAAGTGAAAGCAAAGGGATCGGTGCAGACACAGATTACATCTCAACCCCTATAACATGCACGAGCGGCGACGGCAACCAGCAGCAGCACGACCACCTATTTCTAAGGCATGCGATGCTGGGAGAGCAACCTGCATGCCCGCTATGCGAAGCGGATTGCTTCGCTTCTGCCGCAGCGGCACTGCGGCAGCGCTACGCACGGTACAAAGTACCCAAACTTTCCATACGACGTCCAGGTGTAATACGAGAGAAGTCGCTCAGATGAAGTTACAGGCTTGGCCCCATCGGCCTGCTGTAATAACAAGATTCAAGGTATATTGAAAAAAAGGCTTTTCGCCCGACAAGCGTTATGCTGGACGAGATTCACGTCAGCAGTGTCACAATGTCCAATTGACTCCCGCGGCATTCCATGGCCGTCGCTAACGAAGCAAGCCGGTCAATGGCACTCGACTGTGTGCTTTGGATTGCGCCGACAACATCAGACTTCACAGAGTTCCTGCAGTAAGCAGATCATCAGTGAGGCAAGGCACTGCTTGCAGCAAAGTCAAAGATAAGAGCCCTGTTCTTCACCCGCGTACCGCTGCCATGCTCGAGGTTTCCATTCCTTGGACAACATGCCTTGTACGGATCAAGTGACGGCGCCGCCTCGCTGTGCGGTCCGATACCAGGCAACCTGGTGACCTGTTAGGCGTCGACTTGTCGATACCAGACTTCATTGAGATACACTCTCTACATGATAGTAGAACGTTGCCAACCTGTGACTCATGATGCGTGAGTAGTCGGCAAGTCTCTAGAGCATCGGGACCAAACGACGCTTCTCAAAAAAGTGTCAAAGCTGGCCCTCGATGATCTATCACAAACACCGCCTCTCACCTTGTGGAATGCACGCACACCCCGGCCTTCCACGTTCCTTCTCGGCGTCTGAGATGGGTCTTGTTCGTCGCGTCGTGGGGCCTGTTTATAACACCTTACTAGGGGCCGTGCGTTGATTTCCAGCGGAGTGGACCGCGCCCTACGTTTCGGAGTCGGTAAGATCTTAGTATCCGCTCCGTGGTGTACGTAACTACAGAAAACGCAATTTCCGTATTATAGCGCGTCGCAGTTACTAGGTCGACTAGTAGTCGACTAGTAGTAGTAGTAGTAGTAGTAGTAGTAGTAGTAGTAGTAGTAGTAGTAGTAGTAGTAGTAGTAGTAGTAGTAGTAGTAGTAGTAGTAGTAGTAGTAGTAGTAGTAGTAGTAGTAGTAGTAGTACGATTTCCGCTAGTATACTAGGTATCGATACTAGTAGCGAGAGGTCGTATAGTTATAATCTAATAGATTTTGTACTATTTTAATAGATTCTAACGATATTATATCTCTACTAATAGATACTAATTATATTACTAAAAACAAAGCTAAAGTCTACTAGTAAAATAGCGATATAGTAAAATTCGAGATATAGTTAGTAACTATAGGTATTTTAATAGCGTTAATATATATTAGAGGGCGGTAGTATATAAGGTATACTATTATAGATCTATATTACGCTTAGAGGTATATACTACTATCTATTTAAGACTAGTAGTATTAGTAGAGATATATAGAAGCTATTAGTTACCTCTATAACCTACGCGACCTATATAATAGCGGAATTTAAAGGAAAACGCGACGATAACGCGTCGAGACTTAATACTACCTAGAACTACTAACGGCGCTTCTTTACTAAAATTTAGCTAAGCTAGCGCCGCTAGTATTCGCTCGGATATATATTCTTACCCTATCTATTTTTCTATCTATTTCTTCGACTACTTTTTACTTATAGTATCTATATTCTTAACCTTTTATTTCTTTAGTAATAGGGCTATCGGTTTTAGAAGGTAATAGCTCGATATAACTTCGCTTAGTAATAGCGCTTATAATAGCTTTAGTAGCGCCTTTACTAGTACGAGAATATTATCTAGATACGTGTTATTAATTCTTAAAGTAAGTAGAGATAAGGTTAGTAAAGCCCTTTCTACTATTATCGCCGCTTTTATAGAAGACTATTAGTATCTTCGAGATTATAATCCTACGCTTCTCGCTAGTCCTACTAAGACCTTTATTATCGTATAAGCGCTTAAGTTAGAAGACTAACTCGTACGCGTTATAGAGCGTTTTATATATACTAAGTTATAGATAGGCGTATATAGCGTAGTAATTACTACGACGTCTTTGCCTTCCGCTACTATCGACTTAGTAGTATCTTCTTCGTAGATCTCGAAGGCGCGTTTAGCGAATATATTTACCTATTATTACTAGTAACAATCTTTAATAATAACGCGTCTAAGTAAAATATATATTAAAAAGTCCCCTACTACTAGTCTACTCCTAACTAGGATTAGTAGCCTTACTCTATATATCTAAGGAGAAAAGCTAGTAGTATAATAACTCCTCTTTCTCTAAGTTCTATTTACTATAGACCCTAGTTCCTACTTATATTACTTTATATAATATTAGTTACTCTAACCTGCTCCTCTTACTAGGTAGGCCTTAGCCTTCTCCCTCCTTAGCCCCCTCCTTAGCTCCCCTCTCTTTATCTTAATGCCTTATTAGTATCTCCTCCTTTGCTAGTAAGAACTAGTTAAGTATCCCTTCCTATATTAGCTACATTACTATTACTAATAGTCCTTTCTTTACAGCAGTAAAAGTATTCTAGTTACTTATTCCTATCTTTCTCTATATCTCCTACCTATCCTTTCTTAAGAGGTTGAAGATAGTAATATTACTAATATATTTTAGTAACTAGGTTCTCTAGCCGTACTAGTCTTCTAGGATAATCCCTAGGACTCTCCTCTTTATAAGGTATTGTCTTAGGCTAATATACTCTATCCTAATTTATATAGATATTAAGGTAACTAGTCTTAGCTATTCTAAGTAGAGATAGATTCCTCTCTTCTAGTACCCTATCTACTAGGCTACTAGTCTACTCTAATCCTATTATAGGGCCTCTCTTCTTATCCTCTCCTTTTCCTATCTTTCTACCTAAGTATTACTACTCTACTATATCCTTCCTAAGTAGAGTAGGGCTACTCTCCCCTATATCCCTATCTCTTAGCTAACTAACTTAGTAATCTATTCTTAGGTAGTAGCTCTTCTTTTTAGGTTCTATCTCCTAGAGCCTCTAATCCTATCCTCTATTTCTCTATACTTTTTCCTTATATACTATTATATAGGGAGAGTATCTCTCTTCCCTACTAAGAGCCCTACTATATCCTAGGTATAGAGAGTAGGGGAGGGAGGGTATTAGCTTTATTCTAGAGGATAGCTTTAGATATACTCTTATAGGCTCCTAAGATATATCTTAGCCTAGTGTTTTATCTACCGCTATAACGCGAAGCCCTACCGAAACGACTATAGAAGATACCTCGAAGCTAGTTATACCCTCTAAACTTCTAGGCTCCCTAGAAGAAGAAGACGGTAATAGGGACTAATTTAAGGACGCTCTATCGACGTTCCGTACTAATTCCGGTACTTAAAATCTATTAGCTGTAACCGATACTATCTAAGAGGAGGCTACTCCTTAACTAATTAACTAGATAGCTAGGCTTTAGGAAGAAATTAGAAGCCTTAACGAGATTAATATAGCTACCCTCGGCGAAGAAGAACTTAAGAAATGCCTTAAGCGCTTCTAAGCCCTAGTTAATATCTTTAAATAATGTTACGGGAAATATAAGCGCGCTAACTTATCCTTATTAGAGGACTAAGCCGACGACGAGATCGTACTAAAGTAGGACTATAACTCCCTTCGAGATCTACTATAACTAAAACTCCCGATCCTAAAGACTAAGCGTTAGGAAGACTACGATATCTAGTATACTAATATTAATAATTGGTAGCAAATAGCAAATACGCTATAAGATAGTAATTGCCGTATCCGCTAGGCAATCTAAGGTATCGAAGAAAAGTCGCTAGCGAATATAGTTAGCCGCTAAACCGATACCGAATTGCTTATATAGCAGGAACTAAGGGACCTTATTAAGGAAACTATTAAACCCGGCTCTGCGCGACGTAGTAAGCTTACTAAAGCCTACTATAACGTATTCTTTAAGTAAGGCTAGTTAATCGGGAAATTCTTTAGATATATAAAGATCTAAGAAGACGGTCTACGTACGTTAAAACGTTCTACGATATTAACTATACTAATATAGGAACTATTAGCTTATATTTTACTAAGCTCCCCGACTATATTACTAATAAGATAGTAGAGTCCGACTTCCTATCCTAATACTAGAACCTAGACGAGCTCGAGGCTAAAGCTAACCGGCTCTACCTTATTAAGACTTAGACTAATAGAAACTCGTCTAAGCCCGCTATAACTAAGGGCTAGGACTAGAGCGATACTAATAAGGGGTCGAAAGACTACTAAGGCGATTCTAGGTCCCGAAATAACCGCTACTAAAAGGATAAGAAAAGCGACGACTCCTTAGGATAAAGTAAAAAGGAGTATCTAAAGCGGGAAAAGGATAACCCCTCCGCTAATAAAAAGGGCTCGGAAAAATAGCCGCCCTAGCTATAGATAATAGCAACTAGGGCGATATCCTTATTACTAACTTATCTAAGCTATAGCTAGGGCTAAAGTTAAAAGAATAATAGAGACGTATTTACGTAAATATCTATATCGACGGCGCTTTAAAACCGCTTCGGTCTCTTATCGACTACGGCGTATAGCTAAACCTAATCTCTACCTATACTTTACGGCTTCTAGACCTCTAACCCCTCGACCTATCTACGCTAAATACGAGGGCTCTTTAAAGCGTATCGGCTTTCTGTCTCTATTAAGGATTACCCTTTAGCGGAAAGAAGGGTTAACTAGATCTTCTAGATAGGAGTCTTCTAAGGCTATATATTAGAGGGCATATAAAAGGCATATAACCGGCTAACTAAAGCTAGAGTCTTAGTGCCTTAGGAAGGCTTAGCGCTTAGTATTAGCCTAACTTCCTAACCTTCCTCTTCCTCGTTTATAGACCTTATTAAATACTATATGCTTTTAACTATACTATCTACCTACTTATATAACCTATATTATATAGTATTCGATCTACCCTTTAAGGGCTATAGCTAGATAGTTAATTAAGAATACGGCTTAAAATTTGCACTAAAACTAGCCTCCTACTAAGACAAGACCTATATACTAAGAAACTACTAATTCGACCGTACTAATTACTAAGCTAGGCCTTCTATACGACCTATTCGACTAAGTTAATTAATTATAGACTAAGATAGATAACTAAGACAATATTATAAACAAGGGCTTCGCTATAGACTAACGGGATAGCTACCTACTATTTAGACTACCTAACCTCGGGCCTCTAAGGACCTCTCTACGTAATAAAATCTAGGCCCTTTAGTAAGAGAAGGAAGTCCGTAAAAACTTCGCAGCTATCTAACGTCTTACGGCTAAACTTAGTACGCCTATAGCGGAAGAACTAGTCCTAAGAAAGGATACTGAACTTAAGGACTGTACTATATTTAATAGTACTAATAGGAAGCAGTATAACGCCTATATCCGTAACTATAAGCTTAACTAGCGCAATATACTAAAAGCGCTATTAACTAAATACGCCTTAGTCGTCTACGCTATATAATATATCGATAGCGACCCTAAGAGAACCTAGAATAACTACTTTAATTCCCTTTAAGACCTATCTAAAACTAACTAGCAAACCTATAAGGACACTATACTAAATACGCTTAGCAACCCCTATTTAAGATAATAGCGTACTTAGGAACAATTCCTCTACGCTAAACAGAGACCCGATAAAACTACTCGAGCCTTCTAAACCGACTAAGGGCTATTAAAGACAACCTACTGCCTAAGGACGATTTAATATAGATTATAGAAGTACGACCTAAATTTAGGTAGGAACTTACCCTTAAATTAGACCGCCGCGGTATGTTTAAATAATACTATAGTCGCCTTGAATTTATAGTCGAGGTTAACCTACCCAAATAGGCTATATAGGCCTAGAAGCGACCAGAATTAAAGATCCGGCCTAACAATAATAACCGTAGTAACCGTAGAAGAGGTAGCTACTAGGGCAGAGC